ATTTTACTTGTGATTAACGAATAAACATCGTGTGACATCGAAACAATCAATCTAATATGTTTTCTTGTATGTTCAGAAGACAAAAGATGAACGGAAAAATCTGGGAAAAGTGCGAACACATTTAAGAGGCCTACTTAATTGCGTTGAAATTTTTTTGGCGCCATTAAACCCATAGATTTTATTTTTAATGTGTAAAAATATGCGACACATTTTTTTTTAAGTGAGAGGGGACAAATGTCCCTAAACGTCCCATTGTATTTTTTTTAAAATCAGGTCTTTTTCAATGTTGTTAATGGATGAATTAAGGTCATCCGTATTTAAACAGACTGACTTAGAGTGCTTTAACGGGGGAATCATTTTGAAGAACACCATTGGGTTTCGGAGATGCCAAGTGTTATAACTCAATGTACAAAACGGCCAAATTCTGCTGCTGTTCGCAAACGATCTTTGCTCATTGATATCGCACAAATCAGCATGCAGGGGAGCGTAACTAGGATATGTGCAGGTTGTTTTTCGCTAAACTAGTCTTCTCTATATAGCTACTTCGTAAAGCTGTCTTTTCAAGTCCGCTCGTTGGCGAGTTAGACGCTCGGAACGCAATCGAAACAATATTAAAATGAAATACTCAGTAAAATCTATGATATTGACGAAGCTTTATTTTTTAAACTTGCAGCTCCCCAGAATCTGTTAGAAACTTATTCGCTCCATCAGAGCACGTGTTTTGTTTATTATACGTTTACGTTTAAGCTGACGGGGCAGTGAAGTCTGCATGTCGTGGGTTGAGAATTGGACTTTCTCGCGACACCACTTTTCCACAGAAACACCTTTGAAAGCCGCGATTTCGTGCGGTATACTTGACTTTTAAGTAAGGTTAGAAGAAACCGGGAGGAAACAACATACAATTATTATTCCAGCAAAAACAAAAGCGCTTTAATGATAACACAAAAGTCAACGTTATCGTCGACAACAATTAAAAGCGCAACAACAAACTACGCACGAAAAGAAACACCGTCGAGTAAATCGATACAGTGACAAGGAGCAGAGTCACAAGCCCAAAGAGTGTGCACCCATAACTGAAAGAACATTCAGAGGCGAGAAATGAGCTGTCACCCCTCGCCGCTTGTCAGAGTTAGAAATTATGAGCCGCCGACAGTTGGAGCGTGGAAGGCGGCAAACGCGAAGCATCGCCCTACAGATGTCGTGTTTCGTTGTCCATGTGAAAGAGGGCAAATGCTGTCGGCAATGATCGCCCGCTCAGCCTACCTTACAGCTAGCATAGGGCAGATATATATAAAATTAGCATTGACGGCCGCTTTCCATTTCTGCGAAGCGCATTGGGTTAATGTCACATCGGGTTTTGGCACGCTTCGGTGAGAATGGTATCTTTTCTCGGAATTCTGCCAATTGTGTCACGGTATTATTAAAGTGTTAGGAATCTTATATTCACTGAACAGGCTTAGACTTTCGAGGCTACTATCACCTCTTAACGGCTGTGGAAATCAGTAGTGTACCGAGAATATCGTTAACTAAAGAAAGGAGACTTGTGGAGACTATTTCACTTACTTTAGGGTAACTCTAACAATATTGCCCCCCGGTCGAAATGTAGCTAGGTTTTGAATCAATCAATATAATAACCTAAACTATTAGGTTTTATTTAGAATAATTAAAATTTAACCTAGCGAACGTTTGACAGAAATTAAGAATATTTATTAATAAAGTTAAACTGATTCACCAAATTGTTAGACATGGAACTAATTGCTTTCTTTCATTTTTCTCTTTTTTTTTTTTACTTAGACTTGAAAAAGTGGGAACATTATTTGTTTGCTCCGAAAAAATTTTATACTCCGCAGTAAAATAAAATAAAAACCGAGGTTAAAACAAACTGAGCACGGAAAGAGGAAAGATGCACTCTGACGAATCTTTATTTTGTTTATTTATATAGGTCTTAGGGTTCGGTGCGTACCACTTACTCTCAAGAAGGACCAACGAGGCAGATATCAGAACACACACCTTTTACTTCGCTGCCGGCGAACGACTCATTGTCAGCAGCCCGAACCCGAGCGTGGTTCGTGCGCACGTTGCGCATCGTGCACAGGGCGCGAGTTTATTATTATTTTCTTCTTTTGTGGCAGCGACGAAACGCAAAGCCCGCATGGGGCGTTCCCATAATGACGTCACGGGGGTCACCAGTGACGTCATGTGTGACGTCACCCTTGAGACGTCACACAGCGCCTAAATTTAGCGGGAATATCTCCGCGCTAAATTTGGCGCGGAAATTTTCCCCGCTATGCGGGGCGGGGAAATTTTCCCGCTACATTTAGCAGGGGAATTCCCCCCTAAGTTTAGCGGAAAAGTTTCCCAGTATACTTAGCAAAAAATGTCCCTCAGATTTTAGCGGAAAATAATTTTGCACTAAATTTAGCGGAAAGATTTCCCGGCTAAATTTATCGGAAAAAATCCCAGCTAAATTTAGCGGAAAAATTTCCCCGCTACATATAGCGGAAAGCTTTCCCCACTAAATTTAGTGAAAAAAGCTCCAGCAGAAAGATTTACCCTAAAAATTTAGCGGAAAAAGTGTCGTGGTAAATTTAGCGAAGAAAGTTATCCTCTAAATTTAGCGGGAACATTTCCCCGCTAAATTTATCGGAAAAAAAGTTCCCCGCTATATTTACGGGAAAGTTTTCCCGTTAAGTGTATCGGAAAAAAATTCCCCAGGACCATCAGCGGAAAAATTTCCCCACTAAATTTAGCCGAAAAAATTGCCTGCTAAATCTAGCGAAAAAATTTGCCGACTAAAATTAGTGGGAAATTTAGCGAAAATTTTCCGCTAAATAGGGGAGGAGCAGAAGACGAGGAGAGGAGGAGGAAGACGGGGCTTCCCTCCTCCACTTGCTCTTTTGTCTTGCTCCCAGCTCATTAAAATTACTTTTATATAAAACATTAGTTCGTGCTAAATTGGAATCTGCAGCTTTGGTTTGGGTTCCTGATCAAGAATCACTTATCTCCGAATTAGAAGCGACTCAGAACCGCGCATCTCGTTTCATCCTTTCAAATTATCATCGTACATCCAGTGTAACCGCATATGAAGTCTAGCCTATCATTACCTCTTCTTTCACAAAGTAGAAAAATGTTTCGTCTGTGCTTGTTTTATAAGAGATATCATAATAATCCGATTCTAAAAGAAAGACTACTAACAACACCTCATTACGTTTCAGCACGCATCGATCACCGTCATAAAGTTGCCATTCCGTCTTGTCGTACTAAACATTTTTATGAGTCTTTTATTACCAGTGCCTCAACAATGTGGAATCACCTTCCCGGAGTCATTACCGAAATCCCCGATATCGAGTGTTTTAAAACTACCGTTTCCAATCTTGTTTTGTAAGGAGCCATAACCACTGTATATATTTTCTGTTGTACGCTGTATTTTCTGTTGTACCTTTTTAATAACCCACTCCCCTCTGTAACATCTCTGGCCGTGAGGGTAAATAAATAAATAAATAAATAATTCGGCATTACAGAGAATTGTAAACGTCTCATTTTTTACGTATCATCCGGATCGGCATCGCTCTACACCTGCGAGAGAAGTTCATCATCCGATTCATAATACCGTTTGAGGATGGTGACACGGACAGGTTTAGCGAGTCGTCGAGACTTAGAATGGGCGAGCCTGTACGTGAGGCGTGAGGCCTTGTCTCGCGCTCAATACGGACCATCATAAGCTAAAAAAAACAACCAAAAAAGAAAGAGAGAATAAAAAGAGAATCTGGCAAGAGAAAGGCGCCCGCTTTGAGTCGGCGTGAAGGAGCAGCCGACTTGAACTTGCACACACCCGGTGTCTTACCGAAGTACTTGAACCTAAAATTTTCTAATTCTTTTTTTTTTTTTGTTCACATAACTCTACTCGTTGCCACATCAAAACTACATTCTTGCGCAATATTGATGAGCTATGCGAAGCAGTTTCTACGATATTTGGTTGTCGAACAAAGAAGGCCTTTGGGTTTTTTGCAGTCGCGTTCCAGGAGTGGGACGCGACTGCAACCAGTCGCGTCCCACTCCTGGGACGCGACTGGTTGCAGCAAATCAAGCTTGACTAGTCAGCTGTGCAGGGCCTCCACCTGATGAGAGTCTGTCACCCGGAGCCGTCACCCGGTCCGCCTCCTCAGCTCGACGAAAGTTCCCCAAAAGTACAAGGACCTGTTGTCGGACGAGCTGGACACCATTAAAGATGAGCAAGCGAAGCTGCGTTTTAAAAACAACCACAAACCAACATTTATGAAAGCAGGGAGTGTCTCTTACGCACTACGTGAGGCTGTGGAGAGCGAACTAAAGAAGCTAGAAGCTCTTGGCATCATAACGCCATTTGCAAACAGCTATTTTGCAACGCCCGTGGTGCCTGTGGTTAAAAGGGATGCATCTATTAGGCGAGTGGCGATTATAAGGTCAAACTAAACCCTATGTAGGAGACCGAGCAGTATCCCCTACCTCGTGTAAATGAGCTATTTTTAATACTGGCGGATTGTCAGCAGTTCTCGAAAATTGATCTCAATCGTGCGTACCAGCAGGTCGAAGTCAATGAACTGTTTAGCCGTCATCTTACGCTGAACACCCTTTAAGGGGTTGTATGCGGTCAATAGATTTTCTTTCGGAGTGGCCGCTGCGCCAGCAATATTCCACAGGATTATGGATAACGTTCTCCGAGACCTCGACGGTGTTGCGTGTTATATAGATGGTATCTTGGTTACGGAAAAAACGCAAACGAAACATCTAAAGAAGTTAGATGCTGCTTCGAAACGACTAACGGAACTCGGAATCCGTGTCAAGCTTTTCAAGTGCCAGTTCTTGCCCGACCAGCTGCAGTACCTCGGTCATGTTATCAGCGCAAACGGTGTTCAACCTGCTGACGAGAAGGTAGATGCGATAAGGAACGCACCAAGTCCGACGGATAAGCTTCAGCTGCGTTCGTTGCTCGGACTCGTGAACTATTACGGAAATTTCATACCGCGCTTCTCGACCCTCCTTCACGATCCGGAAGCTCCCCTCTAACTATCGTGCGACGCGTCAGCGTACGGTGTGGCTGCCGTTTTGTGACACATTGGGCAAGACAAAACGTGTCGTCTAGTTGCGTACGCTTCACGTATCTTTTCAAAAGCTGAGGGTGGCTACAACCGATTAGAAAAAGAAGCTCTTGCTGTAGTTTTTGGAGTTCGTAAGTTTTATTACTACGTGTTTGGGCGCTCTTTTGTTCTGGTCACTGACCATAAGCCGCTTCAGATAATTTTTGGGCCCAAGACAGGCGTACCATCAATCGCTGCTGCGAGACTTCTTCATCCGAAAACGCTGACGCAGACTGCCTCTCGCGGTTACCCTTGCCTAACAACAGATCGCCAGAGGAGTCAGCGGACGAGCGTGTCTACGGGCTGCGTTTCAAGACGATGCCTGTCCACTGCCGTGACATGGCAAGCTGCAGAGACCCGGTTCTGAAGAGCGTCATGCATCATTTTCTTGCAGGATGGACAAGTCATGTCACAGACTACGAGCTGAAGCCCTTCTTTCAAAGTCGGTGCGAGCTTTGTAGCAAGGCTGTCATGCCGGAACGACGACGCTTGCGCGTCGTCGTTCTGGCAAAATTTTAGAAGCACCTGCTGGACGAACTGCACCAGGGGCACCCGGGGATCGTACGCACGAAGTGCCTGCCGAGGAGCTACGTCTGGTGGCCTACCGTTGACGAAGACATGGAACGCAAGTGAGTTCTTGTGTAGCATGCCGGAATCAACGTAGTCTGCCTTACAAAGCTCCTCAGCATCCGTGGGCCTGGCCTACACGACCGTTGGAGCGAGTGCACGTTGATTTCGCGGGCTCCTGTCGAGGTCTCGTGTTTAATCGTTGTCGATGCGCACTCCAAGTGACCGGAAGTGTTCCCCATGAAAAGCATGACCTCTGAGAGCACTGTTGCATGTTTGCACGAGTTGTTTTTCGTTTTGAATTCCGGAAACTCTTGTATCCGATAATGGGCCACAATTAACGTCAACAGATTTTGAGGGCTACCTCAAGGTTATAGGTTGCACGACACGTTCGCATTGCACCATACTATCCTAGTAGCAATGGTTTGGCTGGGCGCTTCGTCAATCACTCAAGGCTGCGCTAAGAAAGAAAAAGGCGGGTTCGCTCAATGAGAAGCCTGCAGGATTCATACTTGCATATAGAAACACCCCCAAGCCACCACTGGAGAGTGTCCGTAAGTTTTGCTATTGCAGCGACGACTCCTGACGAGACTGGACGCTGTAAAGCCTTCCATCCAGGAGCAAGTGGCTGCACGTCAATTCCGCCAAACACTTTATAGGAGGGCTCTAGAAAGAGGTTTGCGAAGGGGGACAGCGTTCGTATACAGACTTTTCGGCCGGGACTAAAGTGTTTTCCCCCAACTGTGCTTAAAAGAACTGACCCGATATCTTACAGGGATAGAGTGCAAGCTCCCTGCAGTGTCTTCACCAGGTTCAGACATCGTAATCACACCGTCCGGGCTTAGGTGGATGACCCACCACCTGAGGGGCAGGCTGGAGATGTCGTCGCGAGCCAGCCATCATCTTGGCCTTCAGCAAGCTCAGCGGAGCTCACAGAGCCGCCAATTACTGCAGCGGACCTGCCAGCGGACCTCCGGAATGAAGCATTAGTCTCAAAGGATGCTGGAACCCTGCAAGTCCAAGACCGGTGCTACCCAAGCAGGGGCCGACGGCAACCTGAAAGTGTCCAGCCGTAGAATTATGTTTGTACTATTATCGTTTATGTTAACGCATGTCAAGTAAATTAAGAAAGGAGGGGTGATAAGATTGCCTAAAATGTTTCCCCCTCGCTTCAAGCGAGTGTTTCCCATGCCAGCGGCTGAGACCAGATAAACGAGCGTGCTCTGGAAGCCTGTAGCACTTCGTGCCATACAGTCATGCAGTAAACGTCTTTCATAACTTGACGGACGTCCGCACCATTATTGATCGGCTGCGCGATGTAGTTATTACGAGATTTTTTTGTCAGAAGAAGAAGCGATGCCTTCGAGGTTTGAAAGGTGTACGTCTTGAGAACATATCATAAAGCTAATCTAAGAAATGTATATACATATATCTTAATTTAACCCACTAAGGAGGAAATTAGTAATACTCCACGGAGGGATTGGTGGACGAGTGTTCTAGCGCACACCAGCTCGGAGCACTTGGAGCGAAAGCTAGGGCTGCAGAACCCAGGATCCTGGGTTCAATCCCGACCCCTGCCCGTTTTGATCTGAACGAGCATCATATCACCTTGCGGTCGTGTATCACTACTGCGTGGTGCACGTTAAAGACCACAGTTTAGCGGTTGCACCGTGCTGAATAAATTGCTCATCTCCAGCTGAGACACCAGACGCCCACTGAGGCTGACTAACTTCCGCCTGTATAAACATACACACAACGATTTCCTTGGTAATACTCCGCGAGGAGCTCGGCTTTTTCTTACTACGCTTTTTGATGTCAATATAAGTATAAGTTGTTTGTGTGTTTTTTTTTTCGACAAGATGAACGACGAAACGGTATAGTCCCTCGTCTGGCAGAAGGAAATGGCAACATTCTATAGACTGAGTGTAAAGGAACGCCATAATGAATGTAAATATCGATAAGTAGATATATATAAATAGTGCACGCGAGCGCGAGAAATCTTTGGCACACAATTCTTACCTAAGTTTCATTTTGAAAAGATTGTTTGCTCGTGCTCGACCCCATTAAACATAGTATACACACGGAACGAATGGTATCATCGTGGGCGAAGCGTAATGAAAAAAAAAATAAGTAATGCAGATGAAATGATGAGATTAAATGCAAATAAAGAACATAAATAGAACATTCGAAAATAAATAGATAAAACGAGAGTGCTCACCGAAGCAACCTGAAATGTGTCGGAAAATGGGTCTCGCAATTCAATCGGGAAAAGAGGAAGGTATATATAGATGGATGCAGAATAAGAAACAGGAGGAGACCTCTCACCCTGACAACCCTTTCTCCAAGAGTAAAATAAATTATATTTTTTTCTTCACATCATATTTTTGTTTTCTAACTTGAATATCTCAGAAAAATAGCCGTTTTGCGGTAACGTTCCTCTAGCTGCAAAAGACAACAACACAGGGAATAAAACACGTGCAATTTGAAAAATAAACGTTCATAAAAAGGCAAACTATATAACTTCTTGCCGTTGAATGCTTAAAATTTTTTTGCAGATTCACGTATGCTCCACTAAACGGATGCTGTCGGCTTTTTTTACACTCGCTTAATTTTTTGGTGTTTATTTTTCACATAGTTCGGCTCAGGGAGAAGAGACCGTGCACTTGCATTTTAAGCGCCGCATCGCCAAACCTGCTGATGTTTCGACGAGAGCGTATTGAAGTGCAGAAAGGAATTTGAGGAAAAGGCGTTTATGAAAGGCAACCCGGTTATTTGAGCCTGAGATAATATCGCCGAAGTTCGCGTCGTCGCAAGTGCCGATTCCCCAATGCGATTTTTTGTAAAAGGCGACGTCGGCGCGAGACCGTTATGCGCTCGAGCCGTCCCGAAATAATAGGGTGTACTTTTTCAATGCTGGTATTGACCGAGGCGCTTTGGAGATTTGACTCCGAAACTCATTCAGCAACTTTCGAGAATATGGTATTCGATGAAACTTATAGCGAAATTTTATTTTGCATTTACTCGTCATATATACTGGGCGTTCCAAGGAGCGGCCAGGCTTTTACAATTGACCGCAAAATTCGGTTTCTTAACCTATCGCGCTACGACTTTGTGCAGCGTAGCCCTCATATGTTGTTTTTGTTTTTGTAAAATTTGCAGGGCAAATTTACCTGAGGAAAAACTAAAGAAAGAAAAAGGCTTAGCTCCTGTGCAAACGCAGCAAAGCCACCGGTCTTCGAACAATACGGCGCCGTTTCGCACGGGAGACAAGAGATGGCGCAAGCGGTCGCGACGCCAACTTCGCCAACGAACGTGCACACGGCGCCGAGAGCCGGCGTCTTTAGCAGACGATCTTTTCGACTCAAAAGTGGCGCGAGCGTTTCTGATATTTGTTGCCAATGTATTTTTTTATCATTCTTATTAATAAAACATATTGAATGGACACATAACCGATTAAATAATGGTTTGTCGGGATCTATCGACAGTTTTTTGTCTTTATTACAGGGTGCGGATGCCGTCTGCTTTGCAGTTCCTTTTTGTTGCGCGACTGTCTTTGGTTCTGCGAATGTCGCCGCCTGCGGAACGCGCGCCGCTTTTGAGTCGAGAAGCTCGTTTGCTAAAGACGCCGGCTCTCGGCGCCATATGCTCGTTCGTTGGAGGCAGTTGGCGTCACGACCGCTTGGGCCATCTCTTGTCTCCAGTGCGAAACGGCGCCGTGATGTTTGAAGACCGGTGGCTTCGCTGAGTTTCCATAGGAGTTAAGCCTTTTTATTTCTTTACTTTTTCCTCAGGTAAGTTCGCTCTTTGCAAATTTGACCGAAAAAAAAAATGCACCACCGATGGGCACAAAGTCGTAGCGTGACAGGTTAAGAAACCGAATTTTGCGGTCGATTTAAAGAGCCTAACCGCTCCTTGAAAGACCCAGCATTTTCAGGCTCCGCGGAATGCCTGGTTCCGGGCATTCCCCAGTGCCGGGGCAGTTCGCAGTACCTCTGCAAACATCTCACTTTCTACAGTAATCATCGTTTTAGAACAAGGTAAAAAGTGGGCACGCTGAGAGACATTTAACGCGAACGCAATCTTAACGTATGCACGCAATTCACTTAGAGGGTATCGGTGGTCGAGCTTGTTAGCGCACCGCTGCTCAAAGCACGGAGTGCAAAAGTTAGCGCTGACATGGCTCTATCATTATGCTATTCTCTGGATGCAGGTTTGATAAGTTACATTCAAATAGTCAATATACGGACAGAGACAGGCACAAGGAATATAATGGTCCATTAAATTCTGACCGCCATTAAATGCTGACAGCCTCAGTTTTCCACAGATGGCGCTACGTCTCGATTCGCTTTCGTAGCTTCATACACCAACTCATGTTTCGATGGATGGATGAATCCGGCTGAGCCCTTTGGATTGGGCGGTAGCTTACGCCACCTAGCCATTTTGTTTTAACATTTAAGCTTAGAACATTTAAATGTGAAATCTATATTCACTCCGCACTGCCAAGAAATTGAGGCTATAAAACCCCTTTGCCATCAGTTAATAAGAAAATACCTAGTTTTCTCTCGCTTTCTGCCACCATTCACTTAATCTTTACTTGGTAATCTGTACAGTCTTGAAATCCACTCTCCCTTCGCTGTCTCTAAAACCCAATGCCTTTATCAAATGTATGTTGTCTTCGGTAGGCATAGGGTGAAGCCCTTTACAGTAGAGTATCAAGTGCTCAGCCGTCTCGTCCTCCTCTCCACAAACAGTGCACACTGTATCCATTTCCTGGTATTTCGCTCTGTGTGTTCTGGTTCGCAGAACACCCGTCCTCGCCTCAAACCACAATGAGCTTCCCTGGAATTGTCATAAATGCTTTCTTTGGCAATAACTGTTTTGTTTAATCTATAGCTTTCCAGAGCCGCCTTTGTTTGCATTTCGTATAGCCACCGGTCTCTTTCTGTGGCCTTAACTTTCTTCTTAACTGAGACCTGCGGTGCCGTATCTCCACTAAAGCCTAAAAAACTTCCTTTTAATTTCTTAGTGCTCTGTCTGCACTTTGTGTCTATACTCCTCATGTATAAATAGCTGAAAACCTTTCGTGCCCATTGGTCCCCATCCATTTGCCTCAAGCGATCCTCAAATTCTATATTGCTCACCGCTTCCCTGCTCTCAAATGACGCCCATCCCATGTTTCCTTGTACTCCCTGGTTTAGCGTTTTGCAATGTGCCCCCAAAGCTAGCCTACCTACTCCGCGCTGTTTTATTTCTAGTCTTGCATGCACTTCGGATTTCATGCAGAGCACTGCGTTTTCAAAAGTCAAGCCAGGCACCATGACCCCTTTCCAAATCTCTCTCACCACCTCATACCTGTTGTAATTCCAAAGTGCTCTATTTTTCAATAGAGCACTTTGGAGCTGCGGTTTGTTTACAAACAAACCGCGGAACCGGTGCGGAGCGCTGTGGTTTGTTTACAAACAAACCGCAGCGCCTCTAGCGCGCTATGGGGTATGGGCGAGAAGCTTGCCGTCGCCCATAAATAAACCGTAGGAATGCGATGTTGTCGGCGTCGATGTGAGTCCCCCTGCTTTTTTTCCGCGTTCGAACTGCTGATTCTACGTCTTCCTGGCAATGTCTGACTACTTGAGTGGCCTCAGCGAAATTACCGAGGCTCGTTACACCGCAAAACTGCCCTTGAATAATGTGACAAGCAGCGATTCATTCTGCGTGGACCACGCAGAATGTACGCTAAAGCCATATTTGCATGATGAGATTTCGCTTGCGATTTTCAGTCGCGACGTCGCTCGGGCTGCAAAAGTGTGAACCGTAGCTGAGATGGTCAACGTCGACACTGAAAATCGCAAGCAGAATCAGACCAAGTGAATCGGGTGTAACAATTGGGTAAGGGTCACAGGTAACAATGATCAACATCTCCTATATCTACTGTTTACATCGAGCCTGCTTAGCAACCAACCTTCAAACTTAAGTCGTTTGAGCCTGAACTTGCTTTTTATCGTAAGTACCGGGCTAACATTTGGTCTACCGGCCGGAGTCGTCTAAAAGAGCAGACGACAAGCAGAAACGCTTGAAAGAGCAGACGACATTTTGAATGAACAGGCGGCCGTTTGAACTTGAAGAAGCACTGAACGCAGTCCGCAGGTGGTCCGTACTACTTGACGGTTTTCCGGCGTTCATGTTGCAACAAAACAAATAAATTTTAGGATTACAAGTATTCGTGAACTCAACCCAAAGTGCTTCCCGCCTAATCAGTCGTGGTCCGACGGCGTCTGGTTTTCCCTTT